ATATCTCAAAAATATATTTATTCTTGAATTTGTTTTCTCACGCTCTATAAGAATATTCAAAAATAAATATAAGTTAATTGCGAAAAAAATAACAATGACTTTAAGATTTCATAAATAAGAAATTAGGTTAGAAATTAAATAAGGAATATATATTTAATAATGATACAAGTGATTAAGCAAATAGCGGACAGGACAAGGTATAATAACGAATAATAACTAATGAACTCGGTCACCACTTAAAAAAGGACTCATTTTTCACAATTCAATCAGCTTCGTCTCCGAATCATTGTCACTCAGCTTTGTTTCCACCAATCGATCGACTCTGTTTTTTTCTTTTCAAAAAGAAAAACACCTCACACCAACATCGCTCTTCTCATACTGTCCCATACTTTTCACGCATTCCTTCACTCGACATACTACTAAATGATTATTGAAAAAAATATTTCCATATTACGTTTGTCTTTTAAAATAGTGCAACTTCGTCTAGAGAAGTTCGTATCGAGCAAGAACAAATAATTGATAGAATATTCTGCATTGGAAAAGAAATGAAAAATATAGAAGATAATTTTTCCATAAGATGTTTTGTTTCTAAAGAAATTCAATTTGAAAATTTAGCAAATACACGTATGCCAAAACAATTTTTAACAAAACATATTCAAGGTTTGTTTTCTTGAAAATGAAATTTTAATCAAAAGAATTTTACTTTACATTTTTTTACAATTTTTTTCATTATTTTATTGAACTTTGAACATTAGAATTAGACGACAAAGTGTTAGATTGAATTTTTATCGTTTAATTCTAATTCGTTAAATTCTGTTCAAAGTTCAATGAAATGATGAAAAAAAATCGTACACGTTCGAAAGAATCGTTATTAAAAAGAAAATTTCCACCTTCAAGACCATGGTAGATCTAGTCATAAAAGAAATTTTCAATGTTTTTAGCGACATTTGAATTTTTTAAATTTTCAAGAATAAAAGTTTCTCATTTTCTCATCTGCTACGTGATGTAAAAACATCTTTAAAAAAGTGAATTCCCGATTATCACATTAGAGAATTTATTACTGAATATGTATATAAGAATTATATTGATCTTTACTTAAAATATGTTCTATCTTAGTATGTTTTTTCTTATCAAAATAAAATCTTACGATTTACATAATAATAATTCTTTACCAGTTGAGTAGATCAATAAGTAGAATTCTAACTATAAAGAGTAATATAGACAAATTTTAGAAATTTGCTAATATAACTAATATAATATAGAGAAGTATAGAAATTTAGAAATATAAAAATTTTAAAATATAGAAATTTAAAATTATTGATAATTGATAATATTTAGATTCGAAAAATAGAGAAAAAAAATTGTGTATTTTGAAGATATAGAAAGCGTGAAATATGTCTGTATCTAGCGTATGCTCGCCTTTCAATTTACGTGGATTGTTCGTTGTTTCTAAATGGTTTTTTTATACACAATCTTTTTGGGAAGAAAAATCAGTTATAGAAATATTTATTTCATAAAAGAAGACAATAATAACAATAATGATTTGCAATATTTGTAAATAAATTAGAACACTACATTTGTCATTTCTTAAGTGATCAAATTTAAGCCTGTTCGCTACAAACCACAAAAGGTTAGAATGATGTAATTAGTGACAGTTAAGTAAAGATTACTTAAAGAACTTTCTTACTTGAGAAACAAAAAGAAGTCTTATTATATGTGCTAAGTAAAAAAAAATCTTATTCGCTTAAAAAAAAGAAATAAAAAATTTTCTGGCCACGTGAAATGATAAATTGATACTACGTATAAAAAATCCGCATAAATAGAAAACTTATTTAACATATAAATCAGAGAATCGAACTAATATCTATATATTTTGAAGATATCTGTATGTTGGCTATAAAAATTTTGAAGTATAAAGCTTTGAAAGTAATTCTAAACAGAATTTAGAAATAAGGAAGTAAAAATAAATTAGCATTTAGAAATGTAGATATTGGAAGATAAAAAAAATTTGAATGCATAGAATTCTGAAGAATTTAAATATAATATATAGAAATACCAAATTTCAAAAATAAAAAATTTAATAATAGATTTTAACAAAGCGGAGTACTGATAAACTATATAATCCAGCAAGTATGTGCCTAACATTTTAACCAAATATAGAAACCCTAAATATTAAATCAACTCTTTTCCTAACTTTCAAAACTCTCAACACTCTTTGTACTTATCTTACTCTCTTTTACTTATATACCTGCAGATCTTTCATAACTTTCATTTATTTTTCAAATCTTCCAAAAATCTTCTAGATCATCCATATGAAAATCCTCCGTTTAAACAATTACCGTCACTTTGGCATCGTGTAGTTTCGCAAAAACTAGAAAAAGAAAAACGTGGCGAATATGTAGGTGGAGGATGCGACCCATTTAAACGGATGCACGTCCGTGATCCGATCTCGTTGGGTGTCTCTTCGTGTTCATGTTTCAAGCGAGCAAGAGACGACGAGATTCCGTAAAATCTCTTAAATTCAGTGGTGGGTGTCGAATCCAGCATGTGGACCGGGCAAATGAGGAAACGGCCAACTAGCCAAGTCATTTCCACCGTTTACTAGGGCCACTTTGCTCTATCCGACCCGGTGGGAGTCTTCATTCCTGACAATTATTAATTATTCAACTTGCCTCGTCCGGATGTCTCCTTTGTCACCGATTTTCTTCTTCGGCGTGTTTCTTTCTTACCTAACTCTACCACTTCAAATAGATCTCAATTAATTGATTAAATCGTATAATTATCAGAGATTTCTTTTCTTTATTTTTCTTCTATTACAAAAATTAATGAAATGTTAATTAATAGATTATCAACCAACTTTAAAAAAATAACTTTTTTATTGTTAACTAATTTTAATAAGCTTTTAAAAAGTTAAAAATAAAATATATTCATAACAAACGAACGTTTATTATGAATTTTTCATTTGAAGTTATTCATAACTTTAATTATTTAGAACTTAATTCTCAATGAAATTTAGAGGGAAATTATGTGATAACTCAACATACTAATTAAATTATTTAACATTAAAATTACCGATTATTAATGTGCATTTAAATATAATAAAATAAAAGTAAAAATAATGACTTTATAAAGATATAATACAATTTTATTAAAAGTCTCATTCAAAGACTAATTTTTCTATTCTTAATTTATGAAATCTTTATGGTTTCTGCCCTAGAACTTTGAAATCCATCTTTCATATATCGTTACATCCAATACTGATAAACTGTATTAATATATATTTACTTTCATTTACTTTATTTACATTAATATTTTATTTATTTTCACCAGAATTCATAAAACATATGATATCGCAAATATAATCTTAAAACTTGCAGCTATTAAAAATTAAATACTAATTGAGTTATTTGCCTTTCCTTCTTTTATTAATAATAGGATAAGTCCGGAATACTTTGAAAAAACATCATACAATTGTTATTTTTTTGATTTTTGATATTTTTGACAAATTTAGGTACCGTCCGTGTAGGATTTAGGATATAAATAATATTATGTAATATGTAGGATATAAATTAATCATATTTTGTGAAAATCATTTATTTTCATTTCCAATAAAAAAACATTGACACTACAATTGGCTGATCTCACTTATATGTTTGAGTTAAACTGTCCGCTCATTATGAATGAAACCGACTTTGAAAAATAACAACACATGTAATTATTTTTGTAATAAAAAGTATAATGAATGGGGAAATAGGGAAAAGTAAAAGTATAGGGAAATAGTAAAAAGTATAATGAATGGGGAAAAGTATAATTAGTATGTTTCTCTTCTTCAACATATACAGCAAAGAGCATATCAATATCTAAGTTTTCCTAGTAAATAATTTTTTATTGTCATTAAATACAATAAAGTAAACAAAAAATAAATATTACAAGTGTATTTTGCACAATTAACAGTAACAGAAACAATTTTTTAAGCCGCGAACTTTTTCTTATTATCTTCTAATTTCTTTTTATTATTTATCTGTAACAGAAAGAAATTACATTACAAGTGAACTTCTAATAATAGTTACATTTTAGTAATGTTCTCATTTAAATAATGTTTATGTGGTGCTTGTACTTAGTTTAATACGCAGTTTACTGTTGTCTTTGGAAGGAATAACACAAAAATTAAAAATGAAACCAGTTTCGCGTAGTGTAAGAAAAAGAATAATTTCTTTGATAAATAATGGATTATCAACACGCCAAATTGCAAAAAAATGTACTGTGTCGGTCATGACTATGCAACGAATAGGAAAGAATATTGTCAAAACATAATCACCCGAAATTAACAAATTAACGGGTGAAGCAAAATTGACTATATAGTTGCAAAATTATTAAAACGTGACATTGGTCTACAAATAAGTAGTTGGACAGCCTGAAGAATTTTGAAAAAACACAATTTTAAAAGTATCGAAATGAAAAAGAAACCAATGATATAAAAAAAGAACATTAAAATACGTTTAGCATTTGCTAAAAAATATAAAAAGTGGACAGTTTTCGAATGGGAACGCGTTATCGAATGAGATGAAAATAATTAGTTCAGATGGACGATCGTGGAGCTGGATTCGTACAGGAGAACCACTATCAACCACGGCATGTCAAGCAAACTGTTAAACATGGAAGTATTATTTTTTGGAAATGCATAACATTTGGTGTTGACCCATTGCACAAAATAAACCTAATATTTTGTGGTATAATGAATAAATATTGATATTTTAAACAAAAATTTAGTGAAAGTAGTTGAAAATATGGCATTTGCGAAAGAAATGATCACTTTTTAACATGATCGGGACTTTAAACATATGGCAAAAAACGTTCAAAAGTGGTTGGAGGAACAAAAATTTTTTATATTAGAGTGGCTAGCACAAAACCCTGAGAGCTCAACCCTATTGAGAATTTATGGGCATATTCTTAAAACAAACTAAAAGTGCAAACTTATGAAGTTGCACCATCATCGATTACCCAACTCCAGCAAAGAATCGAGGAGCAACGGGATCAATTCATCCGGATTTTTGTCGACACCTTATAGAAAGCATATCAAAATGCATTGGGTCATAAAAGCAAAAGGCTTATATGGACAAATACTAGTAAATTGTTAAAGCTAAAAAAATTTATTGCTAAAATAATAGTAACAAAACTGTAACAATTCTTTGTTACAGATAAATAAGAAAACGTTTGTAGCTTAAAAGAATTGTTACTGTTAATTATGCAAAATACACTTGTAATATTTATTTTATTACGACTTTATTGTAAAAATAGAAAAAATAAGAAAAAATTATTTGCAAGAAAAATTTAGGTATCGATACAGTTATGCTCTTCATATCTTTGCATATATATTGTATATATCATAAAGCCAACGGCTACAGCTTACATTTAATCCAATTTTGCGAGATTTTGAAATAACTTTCTTCGCATTTTTTAAAGAATTAGCACTTTTTTCTTATTTTTTCTTTTATAATAAATACTTTCTTTTCCTTCAAGTACTTTTTAATTTGTAATAATATTATTCTATATATTTATTTAATTTGGTCGAAATGTCCCGAATTAAAGTGATGAGTAAAAGTGAAAACACATGTGGATTTTTAATATTAATAATATTTTATATTTATATTTCATGTATTTTAATTTTTGGATGTAGAATACAAAAGAAGTAAAACATGTAAAT